GCTGAGGCCACCGCCACCCTGTTAGATGCCATCTTCTCCGGGTTACTTGTCGCCTTTCCGACCGTCCTCTCCGCCATTAGCACCGCCCCGTGGCGAAGGAAAGAACGTTGCCGATCTGTGCCGAGGGCTACGCAGTCGCCTCCCTAGACACAACCAAAGCTTCACCACCTCCGTCAGCCGAAACCCTAACAAGACGGCAGTCGCCATGCGATCGCCTAGCGTTTCGCTTCATGGTGGACCCTACCACTGGCGGAGCTTAGGCAAGGCCAAATGGGCCATGGCCCGCCCAGCTCTGCAGCTTTTTCTCACAATATAGCTAGCCCATGGGTTGTAGAATGCCAGCTAGTAGTAATTCCTTGCAGCCTGGCCTATTCAGCCCGCCCAGCTTTTTTTGGCAAGCTCCGCCACTGGACCCTACTGTTTATTCCGCGGGTCTGGGACCGAGATGTGCATCTTTTTTTTAAAATCGGGACTCATTTGACATTTCGGTGAAAGAACCTCGTATATTTTAACTCATCTTAATTATAACCAGATAAAGTACCGGCCAACAGGACGGGACGGCCAAACCACTGAGAAGATGCTGCCGCCGTCTTGCCGCCTGCTCCCTCTCATCTCGTCGCCGCCTCCTCCGCACTCCCTGCACGTCGCCAAAACTCTCATACCCAGGCAGACCCATGCCGGGGCCCGGGCCCGACACGTTGCCCCCACCATGTCCGCTCAGCTAGATGCCGCCCTCTCCGCCGGCTTCGTCCGCCTCCTCAACGCCGGGCAGGAGGACGCGGACTGCGGCGGCGGGCACTACGATCCGAAGCCGGGGGACTACGCCGTCGGGATCGTTGTCTCCGGCACCGAGGCTCGCCTCGACGTTGCCGTTGGCGCCGACCGCCTCGCTACGCTCCTCACCAAGGAGCTCCTCCCGCTCTGCCGCGCGGAGCTCCCTACTGGAGGTGCTAAACCGGCTCCGCCTCGGCCAGGGAGCGTGGGCGTCTCGGAGACCTCCCCCGTGGATGAAGAGACCCAAAATCAGAAGCGCGGGGCCAGGACGCTGGTGCCGCCCGGCACGGTGGTCTTCGCGGAGGTGCTCGGGCGCACACTGAGCGGGCGGCCGCTCCTGTCGGCGAGGCGGCTCTTCCGACGCCTCTCGTGGCACCGGGCAAGGCAGGTTTTGTCCTCC